GTAACTTTAACATGTGTGGACTTCAATTCCCAGAATTCCCCAGCCAGCATACTCAAGTTGGCAAAGTTAAAAAGACTGAGTTAGGGCAACATGGAGAAAATGTAAACATTTTCTATAGTTAGGAATGAAGCAGTTTTACAGAGCTCACTATTCATCTGCCTTATAGACAGCAGAGAGAGGGGAGAGCGGATATAAAAAGGACAGGCAGACAGAATGGATGGAGCCATGGATCATAGAGTGTGCAATTTAGGAATAATCATGTTGTAACTTGCAAGGAAATGCATCACTACAGATGAAGATGGTGATCTTTAACATACCATCTCCTTGAGAAATTTTCCATTTTCTACTTGTCCATATTTTTGAAAGCAGAAGTAAACATCCAAAACACAAATTGGCCACCATATGATTTTCTTCCTTGTAATGTCACATTTCTATATATGAAATACCTTCATAGTGGTGAACATCACTTTCCCGACTCCTGAGATATAAGGCAGCATTAGAATCAAACCCAATGCGATGATTCCATTTCACACAATGTGCTAAATAAATATGAAGTGGCAGTGGATCCGTATCTTTGGGTAAGATACTGTATTGATAGAGATAACATTTTGAAAAAAAGATAAAGGGGATCAGTAATTTTCAGTATTTATTTTAATTATAGCTCTTTTCTCTAAGTTCCATTTCTTACCAGTGAAATTCCAAATGCACGATTATGAAAATTTAAATATCTTTAGCAGTAAAGGTTATTTTTAAGTAGAGTTTGAAATGCATTTGGGTTATGCAGCAACATTACTAACGGAGCGGGGGGCAGTCACAATTTCCTTTCAACGAAAGGCCTTTTGCCTTTGAACATGACAAGTTCGTGTAGTGTCATCTCTCGCTTCTATATTTGCAGAGGTAGCAAGATTCTAGGGAAAGAGCTCCATGTGCTGTCTATGAGAAGCAGCATGGCAAAGGTTTTTACACCATTATGGAAATAGCCCTCTGATGACAAGGCAGCACAAGCTACTAGCTGGGGAGAAATATATTTGCTTTTGGAAATTAGAATAAAACATAATGGCTGAACTGAAAAATCTCCTTGTAAAACATTTTTTTGTGACCATAGGAAGTGGTATTAAGTAGCATCTGTGTTTTGCTTATTGGTATTCCTTTGTGAGATTAAGATATATCTCTCGCAAAGATAATTAAATGCATACTTATGTTTTCTGTGTGTACATACACATACATACACATACATCCATAGCCCAACTATGTGTTTTTATTTTGATTTGGTTTTTTTTGTATTTTATGGATTTTAATTGTTTTGTCGTAAGCCAGCTAGAGTAAATGTTTATTGGCTTACTTGATACATATCACTTAAGTATGCAGAGCACATATTATGCTTCTTTAGGCTATTATTATTGGATTGCAGTTAATGTCGAGAACCAGTACGCTTTCCAAACCTAGAATGACTCCTATAGTATTATATATAGCTGCCATTAACTGGGTTTGGCTGGAAGGGATTGTGGTAGTTCAGTCAAATCCAAAACACCAACTCTTTCCTTTTTCCTCATCTCTGCAACAATCGTAAGCAGAAAAGAAGAGGGATTTGTGTACAGCCATGGCTGTGCTATTGATCATAGTTTAGTCTTATCTCTGAAACAGCTGATGACTTGAAATGCATAAGAAATGCACACATTCTATTTTCTTCTGGCATCCAGAAGTTATGCATAATAGATCTCATTTCAGGATTATGATTGCACATCTAGGTTTTTTTATTAGGCACAACTATAGAAACTTTCAGTACTCTGATACTTACACACTTCTTAGCAGCAGTACTGAAAGCTTCTGAAGAAACTGAAAAAGCTTATGTAAATACTGGATTTAAACCAAGTAACACCGTCAGATCTAGTCTTCTCGCAGTGAAGATGGATGCCAAAGGTTCAGAATGTGTGAAAGCTTGCTTCATTTTTTTTTAAATGTGGTTAGCAGCACTCCTCTGAAGCCTTCTCCCTCCCTTCTCAGTCATGCTTTGCATTTGCTGAAATCTGCACTCAAATGTAATCACTGAAGGCAGAGAGGGAGTAATTGCAGCAAAATTAACCTCTGACTCTCCCCCCCCAACAATAGCCCTGATAAAACTACTCATCAGCAGTTTACCTTGATGCAGTGCAAACTCTTTTCCATTCTGCTTATTTGAAACACATTATTTGTAATTTCTCTGCACTGGAGTCTTTGTTTTTCTTTTAGCTGCTGCATGCATATTATTGCATTATATTTTGAGGTGCAAAGATGAGTCAGTACTAAAGGTAATACTATAAATATTATTATAGCTATTGATATAGCTAATATCAAATTTCTAGAACCAATGACCTGGGAATTGATTTGAGAACTGGACAAAGTGGCAAAAGAGGAACTGCTTGGTGTAGTGGTGAACATGCTGGATTAGAAACTAGGAGAGTGATTTCTAATCCCACTTTAGACATGAAATCAGGCTCCTTGACTTTGAGCCAATCACTCTCTCTCAGCTCAGCCAACTTCACCAGGTTGTTGTTGTGTGGGAAAATAGGAAATGTATTTAGGAAACGTATTTAGTATTAGGTATGTCCACTAGCTTGAGTTGACCAAAAACATAGTTTAAAAAAAGTTAGCATCATCACCATCATCTTCTTCATTGAACTGCCAGTATAAGAAAATATGGAATACATGGATTTGGGGACACTTTAAATACAAGAAAACCCATGAGACTTAATTTCTGAGTGAACGTGTTTAGAATTGCACTACTTTTTTTACTTTCTGTAGATACTATATATCAGGGGTGTCAAACTCGATTTCATTGAGGGCCACATCAGGGTTGTGTTTGACCTCGGGGAGTGGGTGGGCATGGCCAGCTCAACGTCACTCATGTCGGGGACACCTATGGTGGCAGGAGGCTCCCCCAGCCTTCTACCACTGAAAATGGATCTCGGGAGGGCTGCAGGCTACATTTTTGTCCGGGATGCCCTCCTGCAGCTCTCTGCCAGCGAAAACAAAGCTCGCTCATGGCCCTCCTGAGCTCAGTTTTCACTGTCAGAGGCACCACAGGCCGGTCCTTCATTGTTTCCAGGGCAGCCCTATGGGCCAGATCTAAGCACCCCATGACCCAGATCCGGCCCTCAGGGCTTGAGTTTGACACCCCTGCTTTATATGAACTTCACTAATAATTCCAAACCTGGAAAATCCCAGATCAAACCTCTTTGTTTGGCCTTTCTTTTTCCCTCTAAAGGATTTGTCTTTCTTTGTTTCTTCTGCTTCCATTTTCTTCTCAGTTCTGGACCTTTTTCCAGGACTAATGATTTCATCTCTATCCTTCATTAAGATTGGGGAGATTGGTGCAATAGTAATTGAGAGAAGGACAAATATGGAAGGCAAACGTGCACTCCTTTTAGTCCCACGAGTGATTTATTTTGTGAAATCAGAAAAAGTGCCCCTGGTGAGGCCAGCTCTTCTTTTGACCTATGATGTTCTTCCCACTGGAAAATGTTAGACCTACCCAGAGGCTACTCTGGAAAGAGAAGAGATTATTTGTTCACTGTTGCAATAAAAAAGTAATGTGCTCCTGTCCATATTGTGCCATTAATATAGAATTTAATTTGGGACATTGCATGTCTATACTGTATACGTCCTGCGTGGTTATGAATGTGTCATTTATACAAGATCGTGTGTCTTTTGAAAACCGATTCTATTGGGGTGGATCCAGTTGATAGAAAACAGTGAGAAAAAAAAGAAAGAATGGTTTAATATTACAAAGTTTCAAGTTACTTGTTGCTGTTTCCCGATGCTCTAAATGAGAAGCATGACAAAATATCTCGTATTGTTTCATGGTTTTGAGGCAGGGAATAGGATATGTGCTGGAAGAGTTACTGACTCTTACTAGTCACGTTGTAGTAGAAACAAATTAATCTATTATTATGAGAGATGCTGACCCTTTCTGTGGAATCACATTTCTATCAATCGCAGTTCAAGAGCTAGAAAAGAGAATTTGGCCTCCACCTGCCAATCAAAACTGTAAGTGTCCTATTCAGCATAATTATTATATCAGTTTCTGGTACTGATTCAGATCCTGAGTTGTTCCAGAAATTATTAGTTAAGGTTAAACAGGTTCACAACACATCCTCTCGAATGTATGCATCTTTAAACAAGCAAAATGATTATTTCAAGATGGCATGATTCTTTCTAGCACTAGAAATACATACTGCCTTGATTTTTTTATTCCTTTTTAAGTGAAAACCGTTGGCCAATCAAGAAAAGTGCTGTCCATCAACCAAAGTGTCTTCCTTTAACCAGTTATTTGGCCTTTGCTAATGCTCTATGCAGCATCAGGACAAGTGGGAAAGGGGGGGGGGTTTCATGCTGAAAGTGTATGACTGGAGTTTGGAGCCCCAATACAGGTAGTCCTCGACTTACGACCACGATTGAGCTCAAAATGTATGTTGCTAAGTGAGACATTGTTAAGGGAGTTTTGCCCCATTTTACGACCTTTCATGGCCACAGTTGTTAAGTGAATTTTTACAGTTGTTTAAATTAGTAAGGTTGTTAAGTGAATCTGGCTTCCACATTGACTTTGCTTGTCAGAAGGTCACAAAAGGTGGATCACATGACCTCAAGACACTGTAACTATCCTAAATATGAGTCAGTTGACAGGCGTCTGCATTTTGATCACGTGACCATGGGAATGCTACAAGTTTGTGATAAATGTGAAAAATGGTCACTTTTTTCAGTGTCGCTGTAACTTCGAACAGCCACTAAATGAACTCTTGTAAGTCAAGGACTAGCTGTATCCTTCAGGAACAATGTTTATGAATCCCCTTAACAAGATTCAAATGTGATTGGAAATCTAAGTGCTCCGTAGAAATTCCACCAGGGAGGCAAAGTCTTAGCAACCATTCTTCCTCTGATTGTATAGGCAGTGATGTTCTGAGATGCCAGTGCAAAAGCTGGTCTGCAGTTAACTTAAATTGCCTTTATCTCTTTCTTTTTAGCTGACATTATCTCTACAGTAGAATTCAACCACACAGGAGAATTACTAGCGACAGGGGACAAGGGGGGTCGTGTTGTAATATTTCAACGTGAGCAGGAGGTAAGTGCTGGTGAATGCAAAAATGCCCATTTTTACCCTTTTAAAAGAAGTTTCCTGCTGTTTCCTAATCTTTGTGTGTCACTCTTTACCAGGCTTCTATCGCAGCGTACAGAAAATTGCAAAAAAAAAAAAAAAAAAAAAAGAGGAAAAAAGCCATTAAGATCAATCGGGCAGCTTCTTTCTCAAAAAAACAACAACAACCCTACAAATGTTGCATTTTTTTGAATCCCTTTGCATCCTGGAACAATAATTGCTGGCAGGAGACTTCATTCTGCTGCTGAAATGTCATAAATCCAAGCAGAACTATAGTTGTAATGCTTTTGAAGTCTGGTTTGTTTTAAATTAGCAAGATCCCTACCCTTCCCAAACTAGTATAACATAAAGAAACAAACAAACACATACCACATTGTTATAGTTTATGTTGATGCGATGCGCTCTTCTCCTGAACGATGCTCTGGATCTATGCCAACATATAAGAGAAACTAAGTGTACAAATAAAATAAAGCAGAGTTTAAGAAGCCTTTCCATATTAGTAAATTTTATATTTTGATTGGTGTAGTGGTTAAGGTGCTAGACTAGAAATTCACAGGACATTGTGAGTTTTAGTTCTACCTTAGACACTGCTTTGCAGGAAAAAAACAGCTTTCTGATTTGGGTATAGCCAGATAGTACCATTCAGAGGTGCTTCAGTACCATATTCTGGTCCTTTGAGTAATTGTGTTCAGTTTACTACTGTATTTCTATTACTCTATTATTTATTTAAGCCTTTAACATATACAAAGTGCAAAGTAAGAAAGAACAGTTACAGAGTTTTTAGTGACATTATCTCCCATTCCGTTCTATTTACTTCCTGATGCTAGCCTAAATGTAGAAGGATTTTGCTAATACCTATTTCAGTCCTTTCACCTTTTATTTTCTGTTGGTTTCCCAACTCTTTTCCTAGAAACCGTCTTCCAGATATTTAAGTTTACCTTGCTCTGTGAATTCATTTATTACTTTAAATGTGCGGTAGGCTTATATATTAGAACTGGGTCCTTTCTGTTGGAGAGAATTTTGTGCACAAGTCAAGCTGGATTTGGTCTTTGAATTGAGCGATTGTTGCTTCATGCCAATTTGTCTTTAAGTTGAATGATAGGGATTGATGCCTTTTTGAATCAAAATGAAACAAAGATGCTCTTCCTACTTCCTGTCACCGGTGAACATAGAAAGTGACACAGGAGGAGAAGGCATTGTGCAAGAAATAGCTCCGCTTTGGTACCTAAACTGCTATGTGTCACCATAATCAGACATTTTCCTCTCTTTTAACAATCTTCAGAGAACAAAAGAATCAATTGAAAATTTGCTAGCTCCGGCATGTCTAAGAATCCCTTTATGTTTCTTTCCCACTCCTGCAGAGCAAAAATCAGCCCCATCGCAGGGGAGAATATAATGTTTACAGCACATTCCAGAGCCATGAACCTGAGTTCGATTACCTGAAGAGCTTGGAGATAGAGGAGAAGATCAATAAAATACGATGGCTCCCACAGCAAAATGCAGCCTATTTCCTTCTCTCCACCAATGGTATGTTATAACAACAGGTCCTTTTTTTTTTCTTTTTCTTTTTTTTTTTTTTTGCTTTCCAGCCAAAATATCCTGCTTTGATAGGTTGTGCCCATTCATAATTGTAATCTCTCTACAGGACAAGTATTTATTGCTCTGTTTGATCCAGAGAGAGGAATTCAAGAGTGATTGTGGTGGAGATACCCCTAATGTTGAATTTTCTCTCTTCCTTTCTGTAATATGTCTTAAAATGCCTCAAGCATATTTCTCCAAATCATTTACAAGCTAAAGAAAGACATAATCTCACAACATCCGGCGACTTCCTCAGTATCTTCTGATATAAAGGTAAAGGTAAAGGTTCCCCTCGCACATATGTGCTAGTCGTTTCCAACTCTAGGGGGCGGTGCTCATCTCCATTTCAAAGCCGAAGAGCCAGCGCTATCCAAAGATGTCTCCATGGTCATGTGGCTGGCATGACTAAATGCCAAAGGCGCACGGAACACTGTTACCTTCCCACCAAAGGTCGTCCCTATTTTTCTACTTGCATTTTTTACATGCTTTCGAACTGCTAGGTTGGCAAAAGCTGGGACAAGTAACGGGAGTTCACCCCGTTACGCGGCACTAGGGATTCGAACACAGCACTTGGGAGTAAAGAGGATTTCTCAACAGATAGTCAGGTGTTTTTTTTATTAGTAGTACTGAGTTCCTGCCTTTGTACAGCTCTGATTTACACATATTAATGAAACAAGGGAGTATTGATGAATCAAAGAAGTGACAGTTCTGCTCTATCCTGCACTGATGAGGTCACATTTAGAAGTCTGTGTCCACAATTGTCTCTTTTGTTTCTTTGTGTCTGTGTCTGTGTCTTTCTTTTTTCTTTTTTCTTTGTGACTGTGTCCACAAACTTAATCTTGCGTAGCTTCGTCTCTGGCAATATTGTACTACTAACTAGAGCATACAAAACATTTGCTAGACCAATTCTCGAATACAGCTCATCTGTCTGGAACCCGCATTGCATATCGGACATTAATACAATTGAGGAAGTCCAGAGATATTTCTTGAGAAGAATCCTCCATTCCTCTGCTCACAACAGAATACCTTATGCCACCAGACTTGAAATTTTGGGCTTAGACAACCTAGAACTATGCCGCCTTTGGTCTGACCTAAGCGTAGTACACAAAATTATGTCAATGACTACTTCAGCTTCAACCGCAATAATACACGAGCACACAATAGATACAAACTTAAGGTAAACCGCTCCAAACTCGATTGCAGAAAATACAACTTCAGCAACAGAGTGGTCAATGCACTACCTGACTCTGTGGTTTCATCCCCATAACTTTAACGTTAGACTTAGGTTAGATCAATGGGGTGTTGATCTCACCCCATTCCTAAGAGGTCTGTAAGGGGTGTGCATAAGCGCACCAACGTGCCTACTGTCCTTGTCGTACTGTCCGCATTTATTTGTATCCATTTCCTGTATTCATAATCATGTTTATACTTATATCTGTTATCTTATACATGCTCAACAAATAAAATGAATAAAAAATAAAAATAAATTCTGGTATAAAAAAGACGCTGTAGCCCTAGAAAGTGTGCAGAGAAGGGCAACAAAGATGATAAGGGGTTTGGAGTCTAAATTCTATGAAGAACAGCAGAAGGCACTAGGCATGTTTACTTAACCATGAAGAAAAGGCTGAGGAAATTTGGTAGGAGTCTTCCAATACTTGAAGGGCTGCCTCAGGGAAGGCGGCATTAGTTCATTCTCCATAGCATCCAAGAGTAGGACAAGAAACAATCAGTGGAAGTTTGTCAGAGGAAGATCCAACCTGGAAATAAGGACTCTTGCCTTGGGCGGAGAGTTCAGCTAGAACTCTTCCAATCTTGGTGATTGACTTCTTGCCTCATCTTCAACAGAGTCTGGAATTTAATTTTATCTCTTTGTTGACCGTCTATTTGTGTGCTATATATGTATCCTAGGCCAGTGTTTCTCAACATCAGCAATGGTAATATCTATGGACTTCAAATCCCAAAATTCTGAGGGATTCTGGGAATTGAAGTCCATACATCTTGAAGTTACTAAATGAGGTTGAAAAACATTGTCCTAGACCTAGGCTGTCCACTGCCTAACAGTTCATACCTCCTATCCCAGCCTTGACTCTTCTACTTTGTTTTTTTCAGCTCTTTCTCTCTGGGAACCAGGTTGTTCCACTGTTTAATAGTTTTCTCTGTCAAGAAATTCTTCCTTATTTCCAGTTTTAATCTCCCTCTAACTAGCTTGCTATTGCTTCTTGTCCTACTTTCAGGTGCTATGTAGAATGAATCAATGCCCTCTTCCCTCTAGCAGCCCTTGTTCTTCTTCAGGATTTATTGTTCGAAATATGGTTGGGAGTGGGGGGGATTTTATGCTACTTATGTGTCCTGATTGCTGATTTACACATTACCTATAAAATCTGATGCTGGTTATGATCAGTGATCAACTATCAAAGAAAGATAGTTGAGACAGATGTGCCTAGAGGTTTGTCTGTACATTAGGAACTCTTATCTACTTGGATCCTGCAACTCTTAAGTGTTGGAGGAGATATAGTAACATAAGGCCAAACTGATAAACAAACACTGAATTTGAAAGTTCTTACCATTTTGCAAATTATCTAGGCTTTGTGATGGATAGGGAACAAAATCAAATGGAATTAAGACTCTTTCCCCCACCCATGAAATAGATAGATAGATAGATATAGATATAGATATAGATATAGATATAGATATAGATATAGATATATAGATATCTCATACACACACATAAAAGTAAAGTTTTTATTGCAAAGTAAAATATATAATCTGAGATGAAAGGGAAAACAAGGGCATTAAAGCACTTTGCACTTGAAGGAGATAAAGTGCTTTGGAGTATCAGGGCATGCAAATATAGTATCATTTTGCCATTCCTTAAAGCAGCCATTGAGCAATCCCAGGAGAAAATACATATGATTGATATGTTGCAGAAAAGTACTATCTTTCTGACCAAGACCCTTGGAAGCATTGAACTCTATATAAAATAATATTAAAGCATGCCGTGGAAGCTTTAAAAAAGGTTCTGAACATTTTATAGAATTCCATCTAACGTTGCATGGAGGGTGAGAAAAGGAAATGCAAACTATCTTAAGCCAAATGGACCAAGACTTTTTAATTTTACACCCTTTAATTACTGTATTTTTCACACTATAAGACGCTCCAGAACATAATACGCACCTAGCTTTTGGGGAGGAAAACAAGAAAAAAAATTCTGCCTCTTGTCTCCCAGCAATTTGCCTCCTTGTAGCAAACAGCTGGTCAGCTTCAGCACAGCCTAATTTAGCATGAGTAGCTGACTGGCGGTTGGATTGGCCTCCCGGAATACCGCCGATTAGCTGTTCCGGGCTGCAGGGATTGCCCCTGCTGCCCATCGCCATTGCCGCCTCCACGCGCCCCATTTTCGGCCTCCGCACCTCCCATTTTTGGCCCATTGCAGGCAGTGGGGATTTGGAATTCAGCCCATTTGGTGGCGAGAGTTGGTGGCAGCAACGATCCCCACTGCCTGGAATGGGCCGAAAATAGGACATGCAGAGGCTGAAAATGAGGCGCATAGAGGCTGAAAACGGGGCACATGGAGGCGGTTTGGGCGACAGCTTTCCACCCAGCCTGGAACAGCTGATTGGCGGTATTCCGGGAAGCCAATCCAACCGCCAATCTGCTGCTTGTGCTAAATCAGGCTGTGCTGAAGCTGACCAGGCTGTTTGCTGCAAGGAGGCAAATTGCTGGGAGGCAGAGGCCGAAGGGTGGGGGCTGGCAGGAGAGCAGGGCTTCGACAACATTCACTCTATAAGACGCACAGACATTTCCACCCACTTTTGGGGGTGGGGAAGTGCGTCTTATAGATGGGAAAAATACAATAGTTGGTTGGTTACTTCAGTAGTTTCTGTCCTATGTCAAAATTTCAAGGTAGTGTCAAGGTAGTGTTACCTTGTGACATGTACTCATTTCATGGGTCAATTTGAAAACAAGGAATCTTGTTAATTTTAATGGTCAGTAATGACCATACAGATGCCTCTAAAAGCTCTACATTGTCTACTGCATACCTAATTAAAAAACATAATAAAGTGGGCCCGATTAACAATAGAGATCTCTGTAAGACAGGACAAATAATGTGGGTGTGGTTTTTATAGGGTAAAATGGAAAATTACACATGGGTTTGCCAATAACCCGATGAAAAAAATTCTTCAACCGCAGAAAAATGCTGATCAGTTTGGTCTTAAGAATGAATCTTTCCAGTCCCTCTATTCTCAGCCTTCTCATGATCAATTTATTGTAATAAATTGTGATTGGAGACAACTTGTCTTTAATAACTCTGATGTAAGAAAATCACTCTCATGCTCTAATTATTGTCTTGATTCAGCTTCAAATTGTATCAGGTGTAGTGCGAGGGGAACCTTTACCTTTACCTTTATACCTAATGCAGTGACTAAAAATGTAGTAAGGGTTTTTTTATCTCTTGACTGTGCCGGAAAGGCCATGGCAAAATTATCTCTTGTTTTGTGTGCTTATGAATTTCTGTGAGTCTGTTTCAGTTTTCATTTCCTAAGCATAAATGTAGATTATGTTCACATAACTGTCACTAGGTCCAGTGTTGTTATCAGAATGGATGGAGCTTTAAGATGAATGTGACTTAATTACTACAGAGGAAAGGGGTCTAATTATCTTTCATCGTCAACTTACTTTGTGTTGGAGAATATACCCTATTGATCATTGTAATAAAATTCTGAGAGTTATTAAACTCATTTGAGGGGAAGACTCACTGAAACACAATGAAGATTAATTATATAGCCTAATGTTCTGTTAATTGAGTTTTTAAATAGTTTTTTTTTTATCCATAGGAGAATTAGTTTGCAGTTCCAGAAAGTGTTTTCATATGCTGGGAAGACCCCCAAATAGCACAGATGTTACTGCTATCAGTTGTCCCTAAATGTTCTTTAATATTCCTTTCCAAAAACACACTATGTGAAAGTTGAACTTTTATCAGGATGAGTTAATACAACAAAATCTATGGGAGTCAACTGCAACCCTTAAGTGAAAAATGAGGATGGGAGAAATGAAGATGAATAAGATTCTCTTTAAAACTTGTGGGAACAATGACAAACTGCTGATAGAATGCCCACCAGGAGGGGGAAATGAAAACACCATTATTCAGAATAAAAGCCACATGTTCCTGAGGCTCTTTTTCCTACAGGAGTTTGTGGCACACAATAAACAGAATGACAGCAAAATGATGAAGCCAATGGAAATATTCAGCTGCCAGGCAAGCTGGCAATTGTGGAGTTTAACATGGATTCACCATCAATGATAAAATGTCAGTTTTTATTCCTATCATTGAGCTTGAAACTGACTTTTGAGTAAATTACCAACATGATTGGGCTCCCTTTTCATGCATACATTGCTGTACGTGTAGTGTAATATGTTGTAATCAAAGCTTGGCTAGAGCAGTTAGATCTCATGTAACTCAAAATTGCTTTTATGGAGCATTGTGTGCCTTGGCTTTCAGTCTAAATTGTTTCATCATCTTAGACCAAAGTAAAATTAATTTAGCTTGACATATCCAACATACAGGGTGTTCAGTTTTAGCACCCAGTTTGTAATCAGAACTCTTGTTCATGTAGACCTACATTTACAGTCTACAACTTCAACACTTGATTTGAAATATTCAGAAATGAGATAGAAGGAGAAAGCAGGCCATGAATTTTTTATCAAATGTCAGGTATAACTGGGGAGCTTCAGAAGGACTTTGGAAGGCCACAGACGTAGTCATCAAGGGATATATACAGCTCAGTGGGCACACTTTCTGCATCTGTATGTTCAGTATTTATTTTCGGTTTTAACCAGTATGTGATGATGAGACAATCTGTAAATGGGACATGAATGCCAAAGAATCTAAAGAACATGCATTATCTTAGTTTGCAGTCTCTTACTGTTCCCTTTTGTTTTAACCAAGCTAAATTATAGCGCAATTTGCAAATATAGTGACCACTCTATTCAGTTGTAACTCTAGATCACTTTTAATACATAAAAATATCATTCCTAGTATATATCCTTGAAGGTTCTTACTATTTGTTCCTGCTGTTGTAAAAACTCACCCTTTTTCTGAGCAAGAAGACTGCTGAAGCTATGTGAAGAGGTCTTGGGCTTCAGCCTCTTAAGACTCCTGGCCTGTGGAACAGCATCAGGCCATGGCATGCCAGCAACTGGGCCACGCAAACAAGCGAAGTCCCATCCGCAGGTTTCAGGCAGCACACAAAACCACGCCCCCTCTGGTCCATGGAAAAACCTCTCTCCACGGAACCAGTCCCTGTTGCCCAAAAGGTTGGGGGTCGCTGTCTTAAGAGATTGTTTAATTAATATGGTCTAATAGATCAGTGTTTCTCAAGCTTGGTAACTTTTAAGATACGTGGGATTCAATTCCCAGAATTTCCTCCAGCATACTGGCTCGGAATTCTGGGGATTGAAGTTCATATATCTTAAAAGTCACCAATTTTGAAAAACACTGCAATTGACAAAAGTTCAATTACATATTTCTCATTTTCCCATGGTCATTGGTTCTCTTAAGATTCTTTAGCTGCCTTCTCCCATATAGCAGATGGTAGCAGTGATCAAATGGCAAAGAAAATCACTGCTGATGAACTGTGCAAGTGATAAGTAACTATAAATCCTAACTGTTACAAAATGCATAATAATTCAGTAACTCAATGAAGCGTTCTGATTTTCTTCCAGATAAAACTGTGAAACTATGGAAAGTCAGTGAACGAGATAAAAGACCAGAGGGCTATAATCTCAAAGATGAAGATGGACGCCTCCGAGACCCCTCCACAATTACCACACTACGGGTATAGCAAATCAGACTTTCCTACTTTCTTCCTGCTAAAAGAGAGAATTGTAACGTTTTACTTCTGGTTGTATGGATCAGCGGTATCTGATTTGATTTATCCTCAATGTTTTAGGTGCCAAGAATTTCTTCTATTTGGATGTAGCAATTGACGTGACTTGACACTGATGTCACTCCATCATTCCTGCCTGAGTCAGAGTTAAGGTGGTTTTATTTATGCAATAACTGCATTAGTTGAGGCACTGAGTACTTTACCCTGGGAAAACTTATGGTTTGAAAGGCAGCATTTTATATCCTTAAAAGAAGACATAAAAACACTCACACTCTATTTGATGTACTTATTTTAACTCCAACAGAAAGATCAGGCTTGGCTACACATAATAAAAGAATCTGTGTAAGTGGGAGCCGTTTCCAGCGCATTAAGATGAAAAGCGTGTCATTTATTGCTAGGGTGAACATTTTGTTTGCTATAGTTCCTGAATGCTCAAGAGATTTGAATGGTCCGTTTTAGATGTCAGCAACTGACCCATAGATGTCCGTGGACGAGGGCAAGCAACTGCTGTCATTTGTGTCAAGACATCATCACACAAATGGCATCAGGACACATTTGACATCACTTTGATAGCTCTGAGGCTTCAAATAGAGGCCTTGTTGAAGAAAGGCAACTAAAGCCATTGAGCAGCATTTTATATCTTATTTTAAATGTAAAAGCATAGAACATGATAGGAAAAAGGTATAGGTGAATTACCATGATAGGTAAATTTTAAAGGTAAAAGCATAGAACATTTCTTTGCTGATTCAAATTCCATTAGACTTATGTTTATCAGGGCGTGATGGCTCAGTGCTAAAAGACGCTGAGCGTGTCAACTGGAAAGCTGACAACCTGTGTTCGAGACCCGAGTGCCACACAGCAGGGTGAGCTCCTGTTCCTTTCCCGAGCTTCTGCCTACCTAGCAGTTTGAAAACATGCAAATGCAAGTAGATAAATAGGTACCACTTTGGTAGGAAGGTAACAGTCTTCCATGTGCCTCTGGCGTATAGCCATGCTGACCACATGACTTCAGACAGTGCTGGCTTCCTTGGCCAAGAAACGGAGATGAGCACTGCACCCTAGAGTCAGACACAACTGGGCAGGAAAACCTTTACCTTTACCTTTACCTTATGTTTATTACCCAGTAACATACCATAAGACTTTCAGGTCCAATATCAAAGAAGCTGTTACATTGTTTTTCTTTTAAAAGAATTAAGAAACTGCTTACTTACTAGAGCTCTGAAGCTTCAGCAGTAGTTTCATCCTTAAATTCAACAAGCACAAGCTTCATGTGTTGAAGCTTTTTCATTTTTGTTGAAAATATTGACATATTTGCTATCTTTTCTCTTTCCCTCCAACTGTAGAAAATGGTTGTCTTAGTATTATCATTAATTATTCTATAGTAATATGGTTCTTCAATATTAATTCTGAACAGTTCTAAACACCGTTGCTGTAATCGCTTTCACTCAAATTTACAGCTTCTGGTTTTATTAGTACCAGACCAGCAAAGGCATTTAATAACCCCAGACAGCTAATTAATTCTAACTAAGAAACAAATGTCTTCCATATTGCTTTGTCCCTTCTTGCACGTTGTTCAAGACTGAGAAAAAGCTTTCACTTTTCTGTACATTATGTTTATTGTCATTGTGATTGCATCATGGAGAAGCCTGCAGTTTTACTGAGAGTCCCTTTTAAAATAATTTCCCAAAGCTCTTCTATTGGTTAAATTGGTTTATGTCAGTAGAGCGGCCCGCTCTTATCTTAATATATTTTCCTTAAAAAATAGATGTTGCTTAGTGTTTCCTTCTTCTGTGTCTTAGGACATTAGACAAGAATTGAGTATTAAAAGACAGCTTGCATCTTTTGTTTTTTCAGGGTCCAAGCAGAAATTTTCCAAATAATAAAAGTTCTAGTGGCGCTACTGTAATGACACCTCATAATGAAATATTCCATTAATGGTTTAAACCAGGTTTCTCAACCTTGGCAACTTTAAGATGGGTGGACTTCAACTCCCAGAATTCCCAGCACTGTTAAAAAATTAGTAGCCAATACACTTGCTTATCATTAATTCCTTATTGCATTTCTTATCCCCAGGGTAGTATAATCCATAATCAAAATATACATATACAAGAGTCTTACTTTTATATTATTGTATTAGGTAGAAAGTCTCCATCCTAAGGAAGGATTAGGAGAAATGATTACACAGTCCAGAGATTGAAGCAAACATGAGAAAGAAAGTCAAAATAATCCTCCTTGATTTTGTTTATAGTATAAGAGGCAGCAAAAAGGACACTCTGGCAGGATTTCAGAGCGCTGTTTTTCTATTTTACAACAATAAACTATTATTCCAGGAATCCTTGCAGTGCCCTATCTTTAAGATCTGAGAGACAACAATCATATTGTCAGCCTTGCTAGGTAGACCAGATCAGGAAATCAATTCCACAATTAGTTCTAAAATTACTTTTATTTATGTTGGCTATTATGCAAGAATCAGGCAAGTCTGATGTGCTATATACTCCCTCCCTTCTTATAGTCCATTGAATCACGGGAATATAAGTAAGCACTTCCAAATATTATCTACTTTCTCAGGGCATAAAGAATGTTTGCTTAAATAACAGTTCTTGCATATTTCTTTCAAGGTCATCTTCCTTAACTCTTTATACATTTGAAGTGTTGAACAATAAAAATAATAGTGAGATCAGAATGAAATGAAATGTGAAATATGAAAACTGTGATAATTACACTGAAGTCTGGATCCCAATTGTAGTCACCCTAAAGCAGGAGTCGGCAACCATAAACACTCAAAGAACCATTTGGACCCGTTTCCCACAGAAAAGAAAACACCGGGAGCCACAAAACCCTTCCTGTGCCTGACTATTTCCTGAGCAGCCACAAAACTAGCATACTGTATGTAGTTTAAGTTTAAGTTTATTAAAATTTATATGCCGCCCTTCTCCCGAAGGACTCGGGGCGGCTCACAGCAATAAAATCACAGTAAAAACAACAATAATAAATACAATTTAAAATTAACAATTAAAATTCAGTTTAAAACCCACAACTAATTAAATTAATTAATTTAATTAGTTGAATTAAATGTTCTGTTTTCTTCTGAAACTTTTCTTTTCTTGGATTTATCCATGGTTGTCCTACCGGGGGTTGAAAAGCTCAATAAATTGTGTGCTGGCGGGTGTCGCACATTGGCGGTTATGACACATATTTTGAGCGACAGGGAGCCGCAGTGGAGGGATGAAAGAGCCACATGCGGCTCGAGAGCCACGGGTTGCTGACCCCTGCCCTAAAGCTACCAAGTGCATAATAGATGCCTCCTCTTGGTTCATGCTATGTTACGTGTTCCCGATAATTTGATTATTAAAATAAAATTAAACATGTTATTCTTTAAAATTAAATGAAGAACTTTTCAGTTAAATGAAAAGTGAGGCTGCTGTATTCAGAATGCCAATCTCTAACATAAGATTTACATTCATGAAGATTCTGGGTCCCATGTCCACCCAGGACATATGTTTAGACCATTAAAATTATAGACTGCCACAACCCAGGGCTCAGCTGGGAAGTGTGTTTACAGAAACAACAACAACAACAACAACAACAAAAGTGGTAAAGTAGACCTTGGGAGAAAGAAAGGATGATGGGATGCAGCCTCACACGTTTGTCTTCTGATAGATAGATGTTTTGTGACTTGCCAGATCCATCCTGGCTGCAGTTTTCTGTAATATGCTACAAAAGATGCAATGAAGTCCAACTTTATATTTAAAAAATGCAGTCCAAGGTGTTTGAAGGTCAAAAGAAGTAGTATGCAGCCACAAGTGCACAATTGGAAACTCACATCTTCTTTTAACATGCATTGCACTTCTGTTCACACCAGAATCTTTCTTTTAGATTTTGGAACGATAAACCAGGACACCGTATCTGACCAAATTGAACTGCTTGATCTGGGCCAGAATAACATTTCATATGTCTGATAGATTTTATGCAGCTGACTAATACAACTACCCACCTGGTAGTTTAGAGCTTTAGTAATCCAAGCAATGCTGATAAACATACTGTAATACAATCCCATCATAATCTAAGTGACATTTACTGTTTGCGATTTTGTCTCCCAATGCAAATTACTCAAAAGTAAAGAGAAGAAAGTTGCTGTAATTTCTTTATATTTGTAACAGGAAATCTTCAGGGAATACATAACCCCGACATTAAAACACTTTCAAGAAGTAGTGTATTTTCTAAATGTCAAATTCGATTGTGCTTATTATGTAGCACAGATACTGGCATCATGTAAGAGCTCTGGATGGCTTTAAGTTTGCAGTTTCCTATTCTGAGACTTACTAAAAGCAATAAAAAGTTAAGCTTGGTTTTATTACTTTGCTACTGCCTTTTTATCTGGAACCGATAGTATTATAGAGAAATCTTCTTCCTCAGAGATCAACAACAAAATGCCTTGCTCTTTTGCAATAACCTCTTGCCTGTTTCTGACGATAATTCCCATCCATTTTCAAATCAGCGCTTTTCCCTAAAGACTCCCATGAAAATAAAGATTTCGGTATTTAGGATGAATAGGGAGAGTGAAATTAGGTTGAGGTTTGTGAGTGGATTTTCGATATCAGAAGCCAAGCCTATACACCATAATTTCAGTAATTTAGAAACACCTCATATGTGACATATTTATTTGAATAACTTGATGAAAAGAGGTCCATACATGAAAAAGGGGAAGTGCATTAAGATTCCTTATTAAGGAATCATCGTGTGAGCCAGTATTATGAACCTTAAAACAGACTGAAAATGCGACTCCTTGTTCAGAAACAGTAAAACAATGTTCTGGAAAATAAATCACTATAATAAAAACATTTGTATTGTACTTTATATGAAATTTGGGTGTAATCAGTTTTGGAATATAAGTTTATAATCCTGTTGTCTAAAAGGGAGGGAAAGGAAATTTAAAAAAAAATTCTGCT